CCATGACAACGAGAAAATTTATAATCTTATTCCACTGATACAGATTTGTTGCCAACAATATTTTAGGAAAAGTCACCGAGTTTGGCGGTTCTAGCTTTAGCCGTTCAGACGCTATGTGACATCAAAATTGGCGCGAGCACCCCCCCCCCCCCCGGTCTAGATGGGATTAAGCAATAAACCCGTGGGTCGCGAATTGGATCTTGTATATACCAATGACATTATACACAGATGTATATATTGTGTATAATGTCCTTGTATATACATTGTAGTCAATAAGTAAACATAGTGCAGTTGTTATATTGTAGTGATGTATACATAGTAGTCATTAAGTAAATATTTTGCAGTTGTTATATTGTAGTGCTGTATACATTGTAGTCATTTAGTAAACATTGTGTATTTGTTATATTGTAGTGTTTTATGTATTGTAGTCATTTAGTAAACATTCTGTAGTTGTTATATTGTAGTGTTGTATACTTTGTAGTTATTAAGTGATGATGGTGGCATTGTTATGTTATTATGATGTGATTTTAATGTACACGGCTCCATGATCCAGGAAGAGTAGTAAGGAACTGTTTTTTTTACTAATGAAGTTTCTAATAAACATAAACATAAACATGCTTATCCTACAACGTACACTGTTTTATCCAACATAGGTGTAATATCTTTCTATAGCTTTAATGTTACTAGTACTTAGGTTGTCTTGTTCCCTTGTTATACATATTTTTGTCTTGTATACGCCAAAAAAGAAGTTAATCAAGCAACTGGATATGATTTTGGAAACGGTCAGACGTTTCAGGTATACCTTTCTTCAGTGGCTCTAGGAGACCAGAGGAGAAATTTTGTTCTCTTTTCAAGACATCATCCTTGTCTTGACGTCTGACCGTTTCCAAAATCATATCCATTTGCTTGAGTAACTGCTTTTTTATTATCAATTCCAATACACAATATACAATAATGTTAAAAGCTGCCACCTACTGGAGCAATTAGGCTGTGCACCGGACCAGCTCTGGTTGGACTGGCAAGTTCTGTTTTCAGAACCGATCAGTTCGTAGCCTTCATTACAGGAAAATGTGACTGTGTCTCCGTAAAGATGACCTCCTGTTCTGTTGCCGTTGGGTGGAAGCGGTAACTCTGGGCAGCCTAATTGTAAAGATAAAACAATATTTATAGTATCTCTAGGTAGGAAATGGTACAATTACTATGAGAGAAAACCAGTTCTTCCTTGCAGTTCTAGAAAAGGCTGCTAAGAGGACCGAGCTTGAACAATTTTTTCCAGAAGACAACGAAATTCGTGACCCTGGCATGTCCAGATCAAGAGATTTTAGAACCGAAAAGCCATGTACTAATAACCAACCTGCCAAATATCAAGACAATCCATGTAAGCCTTCTGGAGTTATTGTTGACACAGGCGGACGAACACACACACACACACACACACACACACACACACAGAGACAAACACACACACACACACAATAGCTACCGAAAAGATAACCTTAATTTAAATAAATAATGGCGTATGTATGATACATGATACTTACCAACACAGCTGGCAGTAACCGACCAGACGACTTGCCATTGATTCCCGTCAAAAAGGTTCCACGGTGACCTGATCTGGTCAGGTGTCATGGCGCAGTTATGGACACGAGCGTCGCCGCTGCGTTTTCCGATCGTGGGACCCACCCACCAATGCTTTAAGTCTTCGACAAAGTGAAGAAAGTTTTGGCTGTTTGTGTCACTAACGTAGACAGGTCTGTCCCCACTGGTCTGGCCTGTTCTGGTGTAGGTCGTCATGAGAGAGGGTTGGTAGTCGGCACCGCCGTGCAGACGGACCCTCGTACAGTTTGTAGCGCCCCCTACCGATTGTAGAACTACCACGCCAGCTGGGACGTCATCTGAAACGAACAAGGTTAAAAAAATTCAGACTTCATATGGCCGAACGCGATTGTAAACTTTAAGAATATTGCAAAAAGCTAAGGTTTTGGGCAACCAGGATTAAAAATAAAATTAAAAAAGAAATTGGACATCTTATGGTTAGATTGCAAACGATAATTTTGGTCCAACCTTACCATTTTATCGTTTCATGTTTCTGCATTTTATGAAAAAGAAATCTAAAGTTTTATGTATTAACACTTAACTATATAAATAAGGTATAAGTTCCATTTGCATGTGGTCCTCAAATATGGCAGGTGCTACGAACCAGAGCAGGCAATCTTCACATCCGGGTTCTCTATCCACTCCCCGTCGTTTAACAGACGGAACGTCCCGTTGATCTGGTCAGCGTAGAGGTGGGAGTCCCTGACACGCACGGGCCTGCGGTCGAACTGCGGTCCAACGCGCCACTCCAGGTCACGCTTGTTGTAATACAGGTAGTTGCAGGTGACGCTGCTGTAGTACACGGGCCGGTCATTGTGGGTGTCTCCCGTCATGGTGTAGGAAGTCATCCTACCGGCCTGCAAAGTGTCGTAGTCGCCATATAGGACAACCGTGGGGCATCCTGACGCAGACAGATAGTAGTAAAGAAGTGAAGTGACAGGTTAATGAATTACCATGAAATTTGCCTGATCTGCATACATTACATACGTATACATTTTTTCGACATGTGTCCAAGGTATCCCCATACCGAATTTCAGCTCATTCGGATTTAATACTAACTACAGGGCTCCAGATCCCAAAATGTTATTTTTTGGGGGTAAAAATGCATATGGCCAGAAAACCCAAATAAAACAATGATTTCAAAGGCCTGTTTCTATAAAATGAGAAAAAAAAACTGTCTGGGGGTATTCTACCTTCATGCCACATTTTAGCTCATGCTGCACAACACAGAAACGAATATGTTACAAATGCCAAAGCACCGCACTATCTTTGTTTGAAAAGCAGTAGAGGAGAGAAGGGTGAAATACTGCAAATTCAGTTTTGTTCGCGTTATCAAGTATTTCCAAAGAGATTTTTGCGGCGTTTTAAGTTCGGTCTTGAAATTAAGCATGGTAGTACATTTACAGTGGCGTCAGAGCGTTTATTCTTGGTTACACTGTGCCTCTTATTGTTGGCATTGCAAGGTCACGGACAAAATAGAACGCAACTGTATATAGCGGCCACTGGCCAGTATGCCTCTATAGATGCACGTCTTCTCCTATTGTCTTGTCTAATTACCTTCGCTATGAATGATATGTTTTCAATGGCGTTCGTGTGTGTGTAATTGTGTATTTGTGTGTGTGTGTGTGTGTGTGTGTGTGTGTGTGTGTGTGTGTGTGTGTGTGTCTGTGTGTGTGTGTGTGTATTTGTAAGCAACCAATAAGATATGTTGCCAACTTCAAATATCTGGGGTCCATGATGGTCTCTAGCAGCTATGATATGCCCAAGAGGAAATCACTTGCATGGACTGCTTTTTGGAAGCTGGAGAAGATCTGGAGAAGTCCATCAATCTCCACACCCACTAAACTCAACCTTTTCAACACCACCTGCTTGACAATACTGTTATATGGCTGTGAATCCTTGGTCATGGAAAATACGCTAAACGCGTTCACCACATCATGCTATTGGGTCGTGCTCAACATCAAAGACCATGTGAGCAACGCCTGGATCTACAAGTTGACCAACACTCGACCCCTTATCACCATGGTAAGGCAGCGTCAACTTCGATTCCTGGGGCATGTACTCAGAATGCCTTTGTGGGGCCATGTTGGACATATGCCCTGTATGTACCGACGCACGGCAAAAGTGAACGAATAGATAAGGTTGTTGTGAGCATTTGGCTTTAATTTCAGCTCTAGAAATGAAAAATCCCCGCTCACTTTCCCAACTTCTTGACCGAACTCATTGTTTACTATATGTACGTTATACGCTAGCTACGCTCGCATGAAAAAATACGTAATATACTGACTTTATTCGTACAAAACCCGTATAGGGACGTGAAAATAACAGCTAGCTATATTACGTTCTTGTCGTTAAACATAATAGCGAAATTTTGGAGGTTGTTCCGGAAATTTCACGATCGCAAGTCGACATTGGCCTTAGATATCGTCGTACGTGAATCATCAAGTAACTTCTGTTCTTTCGAATATTATCCTTGTAACTTCTGTTCTTTCGAATATTATCATCTACTTTCTCCGGTAATATTTCAGTTTAACTGGATTAACTTCCACAGAAACGTAGAAATGTTGAACTGAGATTCTAGCGGGACGAACTTTACCGCAAACGTAAGGGCTGCGAGTAGTATAGATTTAACGGCGATAAGTCATCAAAAAGTCACTTTAAACATGACGATCAAACTTATCGGTATACGTGTATAATACCGTAAACCGGACGTTCTAACCCTAACGTCAACACTTTTATTCTCTACTTCTTACCTCCACAAGTTGGTGGAACACCACTCCAAGTCCCGTTCGGCTGGCAGGTTATATTGGCAGTCCCCCACAGCAGCCAATACCCGTCCATACAGGTGTACCTGACTGTCTGTCCTGATGTAAAGTTACTGTTGTTATCCCTGATCCCATTGGCTGGCACACCAGGGTCCCAGCATTGACCTTCAAAAATATATATATTACATATATATTACAAACTATGAAAGTTTAACTTAAATGAGGTGGCTCTTTCTTTCTGCGATTTCAAGTATTCACTACTTTGTAATCAATATGATGTATTGTTTATGTGATAATTCAGGAGGGAAATTATGTTAATAGCACTTAAAAAGTGCAATTTCAGTCATACGAGTGCGAATGCAAATAACATGCAAATGATATGATTGGCGCTATAGGGATTAGTCCCGGACTACAATCATGGCATCGCCTATATTTAGAAGTGAGTACCTCGGGCCGTAAACCTTAACACCGCGGGAAAAACTGTGCAGCTAGCATGAACCTAGCATGTTCAAGTCACGAGATAACAAAATCGGAAGTTCCATAATTATCTGCAGCACCATAACAAGCCGCTAAAAGGTCCAAAATCTAATGGTTTCGAGGTATCATCAAGACTTACCCACCTACCAAGTTCATGACTATTCATGCAAAGCTTCTTGATTTATCGTGATAAATTACATACATACATACATGCATACGTTCAAAGCAGTTACTTATTGGCAAGCAACTAGATATGATTTTGGAACTAGTCAGACGTTTCAGGTAGCAGTGTAGCACCCATTACCTTTAGTCGGTGACTGAAAGACCAGAGGAGAAATGCAGATTAATAAGCACTAGATTAGAACTCTCAGGAGCTACCAGCACCAAGAACAGACAATACTTAAACTCCTGTTCTGAAACAACAGGAGCTTTTGACTAATTTGTATCATTCAACAAGGTTGAACTGCAATTTCCAACTAAAGAAATTGGACTCACCCAAATTTGCGACTGTACAACTCCAGTGATTTTTCAAGGAAAGAGCTGCCCACGGCTTTCGTGACGTTACGCAAATAACACAGCTCAGAAGAATGCTTGCCACACACGGTATCAAGACCTGCTTTAGACCAACTAGAACCCTCCGGAATATACTCAAGGACATAACACTAAAAGAAAGTAAATGTGAGGTAGTTTACCATTATAAGATACAGTGTCAAGGACAGAACTCCAAGGGCCCAGTAAGGAAACATATATTGGAGAGACTGAAAGATCCTTCAAGGCTACTAGTAGGTTCTTAGAACTAGCTCGACCACTTCGGAAGTCTCACAACATATACACATTGAATAGTCTGGACATTCAGCCTCATTTGATAAAGTAAGAATCTTGGACACAGAATCGGACTTTTTTGAACGAGGGAATAAAGAGGCCATCAGGTATTACAACCATCCCTCAACAGAGACGGGGGGCGCCACAGACTTTATGCAACCAATAATCCACTACTCACGGAGTCACGTGTGTTATCTGCGTGACGTCACGGAATCGGTGGATTGCTCATTCCTTAAAGACTGGAGTTTTACAGTCGAAAATTTGTATGAGTACAACTTCTTGTGTCAAACTTGTTTCACAATGACTTCTACCAACACAGATTGTTTCAATCGTCTCATACACTCGCACGACAATGCCTTGGGGAACCCGACGACTGGCCTCCCTACCTTTGCTGCCCATACCCAGCCATTTAATGCACGCAAAACTTCTTAACCGTATCTAGACCGGGCTTTTTTGGGCTTGGTGGGACAGGGGGTTGGGGGTGTGTGGCTAATTTGCCCCCCCCCCCCTCAGAACTCAAGAACGGTATGTAGTATGACCACCAAATTTTAAGAGGATGGTGTACTAGTAAAAATGTATCATATCTACAATTTTATGTCGTCATGACGTAATATCACGTCATTATGGCGTCATTAATGTGATTTTATTGGCCAAAACCGCCTAAAAGGTTATTCCCTGAAAACTAAATGGTATACACCATAACTTTACCAAAAGTATTTATGACAGAATATTAGGGTGTACTAAGTCTTATGTTGCCCATATCAACACCGGTGACGTCATAAAATGACGTCATGCATATCTAATCTCTCCAACATCTTGGACCATCAAACTTGAATTTTTAAAAATTGTTTTTATTCAGGATAAAGCCTAAAATACATTGTAAACAGACAAAAGACGTTCAAATGAACCTTTTTCGTAAAAAGAAATCGAAGTTTTGATGAAATTTTGAGGAAAAAACTGTATATACCTGTTCTAATGATATGGTCCGTCATCTTGAATTTTGGCCAATGACGTCATCAAATTAGCATAAATTATGCATATTTAATTATAAAATTTACATAGAATTATCTGGGATGTTATTAATATTAGAAACAATGTGTAACTTAACATAAAACCCACAAAATTCTATTGTTGAAACTAAAATTACTAAATTTAGCAAAAAAATGCCTGCCAGAAACCATGTTTTTGTGTTGCCATGGCAACACAAAAAATTAATACTAGTAAGTTGATGTTTTTCTGTGTTGCCATGGCAACGGGTTTCTAGCAGGCAGTTTATTTGAAAATAGAAGTAATTTTGGTATAACATAAAAATTTTCTGAGTTTTATATTAAATTACACTTCTTTTCCAACATTAATAACATCCTACATAATTAAATATTAGTTAAATTATTTAATATGCATAGAATATGCTAATTTGATGACGTCATTGGTCAAAATCCAATATGGCGGACTATATTATTAGCTCTGACGTCATATAACGTCATAATTACACCAAAGTTATTAAAATTTAATTCTATTACTACACCATTCTCTGAAAACTTGGTAGACATACGATGAGTGCATAAAAACATATAAAAACGGAAATAAGGTAATGTATAAGAACGCCAGTGTATCTATTATGATCGAAAGCCGGCTGGGGTCCGCGCGGACCCCAAAGGAAAATCAGATATAATTTTTTTCATAAATGGTAGAAACGGAATTTTCTGCACTGTTTTGAGAGACAACTTTGTGGGTGACAATTACCTAAAATTCCAGAAAAAATCTTTAGAACCAAAAAAGATATTACAGAATATATAGTGCTGGGGTCCGCGCGGACCCCAGGTGTACTGTTTAGGGTTAAAGAGGTA